ATTATTGCTTTTGCCTTCTTTTATCACTGCTGACTTCATGCCTTCTTCCACCTTCATCATCTACTGTAGTCAGAACAACCTGAGAGCAAACATTAGCTAATTTCCCTTGATATAGCCAATTAGACTATTAGCCATCTTCAGTGCAGAAATTCAATGAATTTCTTTTAAAAGGAAATAATAATAACCTGCAGACACTACCAAAATCATCAGATTTTTGCCTTGTATAATAGTCTCAGAGCTTCTTGAGTCACCTCTCAGTTAAGTAGTAGTATGTTTCAGATATAGCCAAGTCAAATTTAGATTTTCCCATGTTAGCTCAATGAGCTAAAGTTGAGAGTTGAGAAATATCTTTCTCTGCCAGAGTACACTGGAGGGATAACAATACCATATTCTGGAGCCAAAGGCTGTGGCTAAGGATATCTGGCATGGGATTTTAGTTAGAGAAATAACCATCAATAAAAATGCTGTTCTAATGTGCCTGTTTAATTATTTTTAAAAAGATCATTCCTTATTATATTAGTGTAATTACTTTGGAAAGCTTTTTCTCTTTTTTTATTCCCATGTAATTATTTTGCTAGACTTGCCTATAAATGCGTATCATTGTGTTCGCAAGGTTCTTCGGGTAGATGTGATATCTTTTATTAGACCAACAAAATAGTTGGAAAAAAGTTCTTGATTTTTTAGCTCCAAGATAGAGTTTCTGGTCAAAAACCAGACAGACCTCAGGACAGCCAATATTCCAGATTTTAGGACATTAGGCTGTGAAGTGGAGAGTGGATGAGTGGTTGAATAACTGTCTCTTTACCTCACAGCTTGTGCTGCTGCACTAAGCAGCCTGACACTGGACCAGGAAAAAAGGAGAGGGGAAGAGACTGACTCTGCCCTGACCAACAGGCCCCACATATATGGGATGTAGGATACCTCAGTTCTAGATCCTGCTCCACCTGGTTTAGATCATGGGCCTCCCCCATCCCTGATGAGTCCTCAGGCAAGTCCCTCAATCTCTCTCAATGGAGCCTGTCCCATTTTGTATAAGTAATTAAACATTTACTGGAACAGGGACTTGAAGTTGAGTCTCCCAGACTTGAGTATACCCCAGTGGTCAGGACAAAGTCGCTTGTTTCTCTTCTTGGTCCAGTAGTAAACTGTCTAGTGGAAGGCAAACTGAAGTAAGGAAACAAACAAGCCATTGAGCCAACTAAAGTGCCCAGCAAACCTTCATACTGACCAAAATGCAATCGTTAGCCCCACAGTTGTAAACACAAATACTCATAATGTGCAAATATCACTTATCATAATTTATACTTCAGTACTGGTAACACAAATCTATCCAGTTCCATAGCCTTTCCTAAGCATCACAGAAAATAGTAGATTGTAAACTGTTAGTGTGAAATGACACCCTGTGTCTCACACCCCAATACAAAGCCATATAAAAAGCTACCTGAAATGAGTCACTCCTACTCAAAACACCGGACTATTATCTGCAGCAAACCTAGCTGAAGTTCAGCGGGAGCTATTGATTGTTCAGGATGATGGCAGAGAGAGATGAGTTGTGGGTGACGGAGGGAAAGTAAGTAGCTGGGGTGATGAAGAAGAATGGCTGAGTGGAGCACAGGTGGTACTGAATGATTTAGAACCCAATTTTCTTGCTTTTCAGGATTTAGAGTGATAGGCTATGAAGTCTACAGTATACAAAAGGACTTTATGTGTACTGCATAGAGCAAATAATAGAAGGGCTAGACTCATAGTCTTAGACAAATTTTCCAAGTGTAGTCTCTTCTAATCAGAGCAGAAGTGCACAGACAGGGTAGCATAAAGATAGCTTACTCTGCAGCTGTCTGTGTTGGAGATAAGACTTCTGTCTACAAATATAACTATGCAGAATGCATAAATCAGCACTACATTCAAATTAAAAAATAGCAGTGGGATTTCTGTACTGACTGCAGCCCAATCACTGGATCAGTAAATGAACAAAGCTAATATATTTAAAATCTTACTTGAGCTGCTGAAGCAATAGAGTCAGGGCCATGAGCTGCATTTCTTATGCCATCTATTCCAAATGTGGCTCGAATGCTATCTGGAGCTTCAGTCTGTGCCACACCAGAGTTTGCAGGTCCCAGTAACATCTTCCATTTAGACACAGCATCATCTCCTAAAATCTCCATGGCAACAATGGAACCACTTGTAATAAACTGGAGAAGCTCACTACAAAATACAAACAGAGAGAAAGCAGTGATTAATTCTTCAGACGGAAAAACACCACCAGCTCTGACCCCAGTGCCCAAACCTCATCAATGTTGCAGGAAAAGTACATCAGTTCATAGTAAAAGTTGTAACACAAAGTGGTGGGTAGCACCAGACTTCAGAAGAATGCCCACAGAGATGAGCAATGGTGGATGTTACGAGCGTACTCATTACTCAGAGTAGTGTATTTCCCAATCTGTTCCTTCCACATGAAGCTCCCATACAAGACTCACACTCATCCTGTGCATCTTCCTTACCAAGAATGTATTTACATCAAAATTCCTATTCCCTACTCCACTATCAGAGGACTTGCATCTAACTCCTGTCCCTCACTAACAGAGAAACAAAGGGCCTATTCTATCCTATTGGCTTTATTCTGAATTGAACAGAACAACATAGTGAGAGAGGCAGGAAATAATAAAATATGTATACTGGATGTCTTTTATATCTATAAAAGACTTGCATTATATTCTATGTTTTTTATATCTATATAATTATCCTCATATATTTAGTATAGGCAATTTACTCAGTGCTGCAAAAAGATAAGGCACCTGAGGACTTTGGGATGTAAGAGACAGAATGAGAAGACATCATACCATTGAAAACACAAAGGAAAGAAAAGAAAGTGGTTTGTAGGGTTTTTAATCAAAGTGACAACATTCTTGACAGTGTAGAAATCTTGAGATTTTGGGGAAGAGATTGATTTTGGGAGACCATACAGATTGTATGGTTAAAAAAACCCAAAATTAGGAGAGCTCAAACTTAGTTAATTAAATATACCTTTATCTCTGGCCTTTTGAACATATGCATTATGCCACAAGTTTTAATAACCTGTTCACATGTTCTTAAGCTCTGTATAGCATAATGCTGTCACGCAATGAATTAGAAAATTGCAAAAAAATTTATTCAGTCATTTTAGGGTTACAGATTTATACATATGGGAGATAATATCATTTTGACAAGTTCCAAATGCTTTTTACAAAATATGAAATTAAACATCCTTTAATATTTCATTTTACTTCCTCAAGAAGTAGTAATAGTTTTTCCTACTATTCAGTAGACTTTCATTAACTATCAAGTTTGCCAGAAATGACTGTTTATAAAGACACTATAATAAATCACTAATGAAATGCTAAGAGCAATCAGGTATGAGAGTTAACATTTTTATTAGCATTTGGATATTTTTTTGTTCACTTACTACAATGCAATGAAAAAAATACAGTCCAGTAAATACCAGGCAGTCAGAGCCCTGGATGACAGACAAAATAAACACAGTGAATAGACAGCTGACAGTTTCTCAGATAACTGCCATTAGTTTAGCCAGCCATGAATAAAATTGTGAACAGAATTCTTGTTCATTTATGAACCTATCCAAGCAGATTAACTTAGGAAAGAAAAAAAGATGACAAGCTGAGTTCCTTGATGCTCTACAAAATGGTCAGATGTTTCCTTGGATCATTTCCTTTTCCATGGAAAGAAGGAAACCATCTCCACCCATTGCTCCCAGAAGAGACCTGCCAATTATCATATTCCTGAGGCTCAGGAACCCAAAGATCATCCTGAAATTGGGCCTTTAAACTTCTGTCATTAAAACCTACTATCCCTGCATGACAAAAAATAGAAAGCTTTGGGTTGACCTCACCCAGGTAAATTATGTAAGAGTTGTAAACCTAGGTCTAGACTCAGGAATGTATGTCAAGCAACTTCGCCTTCATTGTGACCTCCTTTCATAGCCAGACAAATTCTAAATGTAGATCAACAAACAGCATTTACCTTACTTGAATGCAATGCCTCTGGAAACTCTCACATGCATGCACACACAAATTCTTACTTGTTTAGCACAGGCAATATGTTCACTGCTGCATAAGCCACAAAGACAGGAAAAACCTTGCCTCGAAGATGTTACAAGGTAACAAACAGACTGAGAAGACATGTGCTTGGAAAAATCCAGGAGTGGAAAGAGTGATTTGTTGTTTGAAGCTTCTTGGTATTATGGAAATCAGTATTTTAGAAGGGTGAATTTGTCTATATGCATATGCATTCAGTCACTTATGGAGAGATCAAGTATATCATGCATTCAATATATAATGCAGCACAGAGACCCCATGGAGTTTTGCTTTTTGTTTAACACTAGCCCTACAAGAGGGCATGCCTGTGGGCAAGAAATCACACTTTTGGGCATTTGCTGCCAAATCGGTATCCGAGACTGGTCATTCCACTCCAGTTGTCACTACCTTCGAGTCCCATTCTGTGTCTGAAGATGCTGCCTTCTAAATGTCGGGTCCCCTCCCCAGCTCAGACCATTTTCATTCCTCATAAAGTAGATGCATTCCTTGGAGCTTAATCAGCGTGAGAGGGCTGTGGAGCCAGGCATCCATCAGCTGGGAGTTGTAGTGCTCTAGGGAAATCTGAATGAGGTTCTATGCAATACTTTACACAAGGCCTTTGCAAATCAAGACCAGCTCTGGGTTAACCATTATCTTGTAGTGTCACATTATAAAAGCTCGCCATGATGTTTTCTCAACTCCCCTCCCCCCCCACACAGTTAATGATCATATTAACCTAAAAAAATAAGTACCTACTTGTAAAAAGGCCTGGATTGATGGTCTACATAGAAATCCATTGCTTCTTTCCTAGAAGAGACCAAACAAACATGTAAGACATTCATGAACAGTTCTTCACTAATATGCCTCTGCAGGTAATTTTTTCCCAACAGTTTGTGTGTTTGCTTATGTCCCGAGGTAAAAGAGTCTGTATGCTTCCACATCTTTTACTATTGTTAGTACAACTGCTAATACTGTTTTTAGCCACATAAATAAATAATCCTTCTAGTGTGAATCCTCCTACGCTCTTGGCTTTGATGATATTGTGTAGCAAATCTGCCTTTCAAATTCACTGGCTCTTCCCATGTTCTGGTATTATGAGAAAAGGCAAACAAGAGCACCAGAGTCACCTTCCTTATAATTGTAACAGATTGCCAATGTGGACTCAGACTGGCTTGAGATACTTACCCTGGGCTAGAAACAGTGCCGCTGAATTCTGAGTGACCCCAACGGTGGAGCAGGGGAGCCCTGCCCTGTGGAAAAGGAGAAGCCAATCAAAAGAAGAGGTTTTCAATCCCCTCATTTGCATGGAAGGGGGATGGCTGGAGTTGGGGGCCAGCCACCCTGAGCCCTGGTTGGCCAGTTTGCAAGCCAGGGAAGGACTGCTGGAGGGGATAAAAGCAGCAGCTGAACTGGCATGTGGGAGCTGCTGACAGTGGCTCCGGGGAACGATGCAGGAGGCCTAAAAAGAGCTGGGGTGAGCTGACCCAGCAGAGGGAACAGAGAGACCCCTCTGAAGAGCCTCGAAGGCCCTGGGAGAAGAAGGCAGCAGCAGTCAGCTGTGCCTCCAGTCCTGTAGCAGAGAGGGAGCAGCAGCCAGGGCTTGGGGCAGACAGCTGGTGCCCCAAGGCCCCATCGCAGTGTGCTGCATGTGCTGGGTGTCCCAGAGCCTAGGGGTGGCAGTCGGCCCCCCACTCCACTGAGGAGAAGCAGTGACCAGGAGTGCAGGAGGCATCCTTATCCGGAGCAGGGCCGGTGAGTGGAGAAAACCCCTTACCTTCCCTGGGGAAGCAGGACAACAGCAGGCAAGGTAATTCGGATCCTGAGGAGCAGAACGCCAGGACAAGGGTTCTCGGGAGCTCAGGGCGCAGGCTGGAGCTCAGAGTGGGATTGGCAAGCCGCGAGGTGTGTGGGGTGCTTGGCTAGTCAACTGGAGCAAGGATTTAAAGCAACGACCCCTGGGAGCTGCCTGTGCTGCTGACCCTCTGCCACTGACTGCCCCAGAGGGGACTCAGTCCTGTCCCTTATTCTGCAGCTGATTGTCACCGGATGGAGTCCCTGAGCTTTGTGCTTGGGTCATGCTGATTGCTGCAGGAACCTACTCTGTTGCTTGTTGCTTGCCTTGTTGGTTGTCATGGAGGGTCACCCTTCAGCGTCTTTGGGGGTTGGGGTTTGATACAATTTGATTGCTGCAGACCAGAAGAGCTTCACCTCTTGCAGTCTGTCGCTTATTGGGAAGCCTGCTGGAGCTGCTGGGAGTGACCACCTTGCTTCCTTGTGGTAGCATCTCAGCAGTGCCTGAAAGCTGCCAGTTACCCTACCTGTGGTTCTTGAGTCAAGGGCTGACTAATGCATTCTGGTTTGTTTTGTGATTCTGGTTATGCCATTTAAGTTCACTTGTAAATAACCTTTCCTATTATTCTTGTTTTCTAAATAAAGTGTAAATAGTTAAATCAGTTAAGTGTTAGACCTTCTTGGGACCAGGGGCTGCTCTGTGGGGAGCAGGGGCCAGCTGGAAAGTAAACTGGTGCTGCCCAGAAGCCCTGCCCCACTCTCACCAGAGTCATAGCCCAAAGGCATGATTTTGCGTGTGCTTCGGCACCAGAATTATCCCCGCCAGGTTGCAGCTTCATTGCACGGGAGAGTTTCCTATTGCAGAGGAGAACCCCGGTGCAGGGACGACTTTCCCGCCTCTTTGCAGCTTCTTTTGCAGGGTGCATTGCTCAAGTTGCAAGAGAAATGCACGGTGCAAGAGAGTTCCCGCCACCCGCATGCAAATTCATTCCCCGCTATTGGCTAGTTCTAAATTATTCCCACGTGGCGGCTAACGATTGGCCTGTTAGCCATATAAGAGGCTTGAGCGGTTTCT